TCAAAACTTTCTTTGACTGTTAACAAACCTTCTATGTCTAAGTCTTCAAATTTCGCACCATTTTTAGTCACAATAGCAAACTTAACTGGTTCGATGTTCCAAACTTTGCTGAATGAAGACTTTTCAAAATGGTAGAAGTAAACATTCAAATATGTGAATGGGTCTAGTTCTTCTTTAAGTCCTGACATGTACTTGTTTACTGAATATTTTGTCATCTTTTCTATCGGATAAAAAAATATTTTTTTTAAAATTTACTCAGAAAAAATTTTCTTTGTATATACACCATTCTGAACATCTAAAAGACTTTTGACATTTGCCAAGAATGTCGTTTAGAAGCTGCCATATAACCATACTCTTGACAATATTGTTTTATACGAATCGTACAATGACCTTTCATCTAAACACAAAGTCAGTTTCATCTATGAACAGTTCATATACACTCTTGTTTGCTTCTAACAATGTTTGTCTCTCTTCGGTATGTGGAATTTGTCTTGGATTGAACTTGAAATATCTAATGTCATGAAATATGAGAACAAGTGGTTGTAAAAGTCAGATGTCAAAGTTTCTGCTAAGTCGTCAAAATATTCTGTATCTTGCATATGAGAATCTGACGTTCTGACAACTACATATCTTCTGTCAGAACTTTCTAACTTCATCGGAACAGCATTGTTTGAAACCATAATGAAGTTTGCAACATTTTCACAAACTCTTTGGTCTTTATACTTTCTTTCAACAACTCCAACTTTGTCTGTTATAAGACTCTTCAAAGCATCTGAGTTCAAAACTTTTGTTGTATCTATACTTTGAAGTTCATTGCAAACTATAAGTTTCATATTCTCTATTGAAGGAGTTAAATTTACCACAGATGTTTTCTAAGTTTGTCATATTCGGTTCGAATACCTCTAACAGTTTGCATAAGATATCTGTAAAGAATGTGTTCTTACCTGTTCCTTGTTTTCCAATTATAATGAGAGCAGTTTCATTTTTAGCACTTGGATGTTGTAAGATGTTTGCAAACCAACATAAGATATACTCATAAACCTTTTCGTTTCCATTGCATATAATTTCTTTGACATGGTCTAACCAAGCTTCTATAATATTTTCTTTCCATTCTACTTGTTCATATTTATATCCAGTGAAGATAGAATAGAAGTTTGGAGAAGGTGTATAGAACTTTATACCGAACTGAAAAATCTTCTAACTTTGACAATAAGATATCCCAAGCATCTAACATCTTCATGCCAACTTGTACGACTTTTATTTTCTTAAGTTTCTGTCTACATTCTTGTTCTGAAACTATTGTCGCTTTAGGTTTGTTAAAGACTACATCCCATTCTTTCATAACATAACATTCTGGGGCAGAGTCGACATAAATGACTAAACGTTTCAAATTCTCGACTGCTTTGTTATAGTCTCGAAATGGACACATATTTCTGAATGCTTGGAAGTCATAAAAATCTGAAACATCTATTCTGTACATTTTTATAAAAATAAAAAAATATTATTTTTTTATTCTTGACTTTGTTGTTCCATTTGTTGCATTTGTTGTTCTTGAGCTATTTGTTGTTGAAGTTGTTCTTGTAATACAATACTTTCACCAGTTGCATCTTCCAATTCGAAACTTTCTGCCGTCATTGACAAATACATAGGACATAAAAGTTTTACAGGAACAAAGTTTGCGTCAACTAATGTCAACGTTATACTTGCCAAAGTGTTTGAGTTCACTAAGGTTGAAAATTCTGCATTCGAATGAACAATAGGCAAACCAGCAGAGAAAGTATTGTTTATACGCATAAGTATCTTTTGGTCATAATAGTTTCTGTCGACATTCGAATAACACTTTGAACCTAAGTTTGAAACAATATATAAGATTGGTGTGCTTAATGTCAATGGAATAGACATTCCTTGTATGACACCTTTTCTGTTATAGGAAACTGTTGGTAGTAAAAACCAGAAATAAGTTTTGTATTATAGCTCATATCGTTTATAGTAAACTCAGTCGGACATCCAAACATAATGAAACCTGCTCTAGTTGCAGCACATGTTACACGTACTTAAAGTATTAAATAAGTCAACAAAACCTGTTGGTGGTATATCTGAGTAAGTATCTTCAAAGGAGTATTTTTTACCATTCACAACAATAAAGTCTTCTGGTGTCAAAAGAGCAAAACAGGCTTTAGTCGTCATTGTGTTTAAGGTTAGTTTACAATATCGTCCTTGAGGACTTTGTAAGTTTGTTGTTATAGAATTATATGACTCAGGGTTTTTAGTCGTAATAGTATAAACCATTATGTCTTCTGCCATTTACTTAGCAAATAAATTTTAATGAAATGTTGTGGTCGTCAAATATTTTTATAACGTCTGGGAAACTATATTTTAAGTTCAACGTTTCACCTCCTTTCATAACGTATATCTTGTCAATGACATTATATGAAACACCACAGCAACTAATGTCGGGTTCTATTTCTTTGATGTTTATATCGTCTGCCTCTGTCAAAAGTTTCAATAGTTCTTTCAAAACTTCATGAGGTGCAATGACATATGAGTTCACTTTTACAGGGTTGTGTTCGACCAAGTTTAACATTATACTTAAAGCTTGACAAATCTTCTCCTGAGTTTGAAGTTTGTCTTTCAGTTGTTGGTAGTCGTTTCGAATATCTGCAACAGAACTTAAGTCTCTGCTAACTTCAGGATATGTTGGTTCTTTTACAGGAACAATTGTTATACCATCTTCGTCTTCGTATGGTTTCCCCACTTCAACATCTCTGTCTTTGACATTGACAATAACACTTTGACTGTTTGTTTGAGTTGGTGAATTTAACTTCACATCTGCCACCGCCATTAAACCTTTTGAAACACTTACGCTTCTATTTTTCGGAAATGACATTTTACTTAGAATAAAAAGATGGACGTATTCGGATATCTTTCGAATTGAAGCAGAACAAAGTTTATACACACAAACAATACAAATACATTGACAGAATAGTTCTTTACACAAACAATGGAAAATGTTATAGAATAGCAGTCTTTGCTGAACCAAAATATTTTCATAAAGCAAAGAAAGTTGGTATAACTGAAATGGTGAAAGTTCTTGAAGCAGACAAAAATATAACTTCAAAACTTACAGATATTTCTAAAGGTAAGTTTATAATACAATATTATGTCAAAACTGGCGTACTGTCAATATTTGACGGAGAGAAGTCAGTTCAAGAACAACTTACTGACCTGCTGCCAAAATCTGCTCGATGGAAGCTGTCGTTATGCCAATCTGAGGAGCCCCAGCAGGTTTCATCGAACGAATCTTCAAAAGAGCATCTTCCGTGAAAAGTGCTATTGGTTTTGTAAACTTCTTTGCTCTCAATTCATCTGGACCGTCTCTGTCACCAGTATATTGTATTTGAACTGTACCAACAGTTGAAATACCACCCATAAAGTCTTCTGAGTCAGCAAATGGAATGCCAAGCCAAAAGTTTGAACGGTCTCCATTTGTATATTGAGTTTTTTGACCTCCTGTATGAGTCCATACTTTCACATATGGCATAATAGAACTTTGCATTTCAGGGTTAATGGTTGTTGTGAAGTTGTTGTTAAAGTTCATAGCATCTAATGTCAAGTTGTATGACCTCATATCCTCAACTGTAGAATATTCTTCTCTTGGATAATATTTGCCATCTATGTTTATATGATATTTAATACCAGGGTTGTAGAAACAAGAATAGTCATTTATAGTTCGTCTGAACAGTACAAACATAGTATCTGCATGTTTCATTGCAGTTGTTAAAGCAATATCTGTTCTTGCACCTGGGTCAGCACTTTGGTTTCCAACTTCACCTGCAAAGTCTTTGACAGATATTTGGTGTATAGGGAACATAAGTGGAACTGCAATATATTTGGCAGCTAAAGCATTTGAAATATCTGGGTCCAACATATAGACTGCAAGTCTGCTTTCTATTCTCTTGCATTCAAATTTTTCGCATGTGAACTTAACTGGGTCCCAAGCAGTTCCAGCAGCATTGAAATAATAGTTTACTTCATTGTTGAAGTTTGAGAAACCAAAGTCTAAGTCAACTTTGTCTTTGCAAAAGGCGAATGACGTTTGATTTGTTCCCTTTACGTCTGTAATAGTGAATGGGTCTTGTGTTGGTGCAATGACTAAGTTATTTTTGCTTGGAGTAAGTTCGATAGAAATTTTTCCTGCCCAGTTTGGCAAGTATCTTAAAAACCTGAAGATGAGGAAAGATGACAAAGGAACTCTAAGTTTCAGTTTTACTTTAGTGGCAGCAGTTCCATCTGAACCAGAAAGGTTAACATAAACTCCTGGAACGTTAGGGTCAAGTCTTCTTATTTTCTCAATAGTTGCATACTGGTCTGTTTGTTCTCTAGCTTGTGGTTGTACTGAGTTTCTCAAAGCGAACCATTCATAGTTTGCCCATGTTACTGTTTGAACTAAGTCAGAGTTAGAATATATCTTATATCCCATGAAAACTTCTGGAGCATATTGGTATCCGACATAGAAAATTCCATTGCAACCTTTCTTGTCAGACAACTTGGCAGAAGGTTTTATTTCAATGTCTTGTTCCACGTATAAGAATGAGTTGTCAATAGAAATAATATGAAACCTGTCGCAAGCAATATCTACTGTTGTTGAAGAACCTTCTCCAAACTCACCTACGTTTCCATAAGAAACAGCAGTTGTATATTCGTAAGTTCCAGGAACTATTTCTGACCTTCTAATGGCATTGTCGCATTCGTTATACCATTCGGAAACATTTCCGTTCATGGCATCCAAAACTGTTGGCGTTATATTCTGAGCGGCGTACATTTCATATGGGTAAAAATATAGAATAGTTGGATTTATATGTCATAATAGAACCCACTCGGACCAAGCTTTACTTTCTTCCTGACTGAGACTGAGTTTTTAACTCTTCTTTTTCCTTCATTGCCACTACTTTCACTAGATGAAGTTACTTCTTCACTACTTTCACTTTGTTCTACTCTTCTCTTCTTCTTTGGTGTCGCTTTTGGTAACTTGCCCTCTGCTTCAAGTTGTTGCATCTTTGCCTCATGTTCACCTAGTATGTTGTAAATTTCCCATGTCCTTTTTGCCTTTGGGCTCTGGTCGCCCATCTCAGGTAACCTATATCCTAGAAAGATTTTGTCATAGTTTGTATTTGAGTCTTCGCGTATTGTTTGCATGACTCTTTCCTGAGTTTCCGGTTCAAGCTCTTCAAACAGAGCTTGTCCATATGGAATAAGCTCGTTTCCAAATATATGTTTTTGTAGCCATTCTGGTTTTCTTTCCATGTTACCAATAATATCTTTTGTGAATGGGAAAGCTTTTACCCAATGTTTCAGTCTTGCGTCATTTATTTCTGTAGTTGGTTTTATTTTGTCAAGGAACATGTTTTTCAATACTAACATTTCATTTGGTACTGTCCATTTGAGTTTTCTTAAATATTCATCCCTTCTCGGTTCATTGTCTGCAAAGTAAGTTTTTATGACATTTTGCAAACTTTCGTTTGCAAGGTCATGTACAATAGGTTCTCTTCCTTCTCTCTCCCTAACTTTCTTTCTAAACTCTTCACCAAATATACCATCTCTATGGTTCTGTGTAGTTCTTTGAGATAAATGTTCTAGAACGTCAGGTGTTATATTTCCATCAGCCATGTTCATTTCATACTGGTCCAAAATATCTGCATCTTTCATATCTTTCAATGGCATTAAAGCCGCGCTGAAAATACCAGCTATATCTGGTTCACCATTCACTTCCATTGCGTCTACAACTTCTTGGAATTGTGGTTGTAAGTTTATGAACCACCTATCCGGATTAGCTTTATGACCCCATCTCATTGTAGTTCCATAGTCTGCAGAAACAAAAGTAGGTTTGTTTCCATATTGGTTAGGTTCTGAATGAACTTTAAACAATGTTTCATTTCTATATGTTTTGTTGAAATTTAACCTTTTATTTTCACCGAGTTCAGCCAAAGATTGAACGTTATATGGTCGTAAGTAAAAAGGATTATTGTATTTGCGTACATTTTCTTTCAGTACTTCCATTCTATGCTGAATATTTTCATCTGATGTTGGAGTCTTTTGTATGTCGGGAACATTTTTCGATATTCTTCTACTATGTCAGCCGAATTTTTCTTAGACTCTTGGAAAGATTCCATATTCTCCTCATACTCTTGTTGAGGGTCAAGATTTTTCGGCTGTTCCAAATCTTCATCTAGTTCTGTGAAGTTAGTTTCCAAAGGAGGGACTTGTTCGTTTCCTTCAGGCTCTTCTAGCTGTTGTTGCTGAACTATTTCTTCCATGTCTGGTTGTATCTGAACTTCTTCCTGTGGAGTTTCTTGTACCTCATCTGCTGGCATTTCATATATTCCGAGACCGTTTTTAACAAGTTCCCTATCTAAGTCATCCGACTCATAAACCTTTCTTCTTTCGTTCCGTCTCTATTTTTTACGCGTTTCATGAAGAGAGTTGAATTATCATTTAGCTCTGACATCAAATATCTCGGAGTAAATTCATCATGTCATTTGGATGATATGCTATTAAATCATATCCCTTAGCGAGCTTGTATTTTCCAGGTTTGAATTATATCCATTTGGTGCTGAACCATAAAGCTAAATAGGTTCGGGTCAGTATTTCCTTCCTTGAACTTTCTAATAGCTTCTTTATATCTGTCACTAAAGTCAAGAGTATCTGGGTAACCATAATCTTCCTTAAGCATTTTTAAGAATTCTTGGTTTCCTTGTTCTCTACTTCTTTTATGTCCTTGCTCTGTTTGTGGTTGTTGTGCAGGTTTTGAACTGTTGGTTGTGTGCTGTTTTGTTGTGGTGCGTGCGGTTTTGAACTGTTGGTTGTGTGCTGGTTTTGAACTGTTGGTTGTTGTTGTTGTTTTTGGTGCATGCCTGTGTCTGTGTCCATGTGACGATGTAAATGTTTTAGGTAGTCCTGGTGCAGGTGCTTCTCTTGGAGGGTTTGGTGGTATATAAGTTCCACCAGCTGGCACATATGTTCCATCTGCAGCATAATGTCCTACCTGACTTTTCGTTTTTAAGAAAGCATTTACTAGGTCTGTTTTGGTCTGTTGTAACTCTTTTTCTTGACTTTCCACAACAGTTGCTCTAACGGCGTCATAGGCACTTTGAACTGCCTGTCTCGTTGCTGCATCTGTTATTTTCGTCATATTTTGTGCTACTTCTCTTAACTCTTTGTCGAAACCTTCAGACTTCAGTTTCTTTCCAGATGAGAAGTCGTTCACTAGTTTCACCTTACTATGAAGAGCTTCGAAGGCATTCTTAAAGTCAGCATTCATTAAAGCTTCATTTGAACTGTCTTCATCCGCTTGTATTTTTGTCCTTATTGACCCTATAAGTTGGGCTGCTTTAGCGTTGGCTTGGGCATCTAACCAGTCATTATTAGCTTTTATATATTCTGCGCTTTTCATTGCCTTTTGCATGGCTGCGTCGTTATTTTTACTTTCTTGTGCTAAGTTTTCATACTGTACGGTTTGGTTTTGCAACTGTAAAAGTTTTTCTGCCTTTACATTTGCTTCAACTTCTTTTTTATACTCATCGCTATCCATATATGTCTTCAGGGCTTTTTGTTTTATCTCTTCATCTTTCAGTACTTTATATTGAGTAGTATGGTTTTTCAAATTTATAACATCTTGTTCCATTTTTGCTACTTCTGCTGCTTTTTCTGACACTTTTTTCGCATATTCCTCTGTACTTAGTTCTTTCAGTTGTTCTTCTTTCTTCTTTTTCTCTACGTTTAACTCATTGAGTTTCTTTGTGTGTCTGTCATATTCTAGTTTCTTTTCGTTTTCACTTATTTGTTTCTGTATGTCTATGTTTGACTTTTTGACATCTGTTATTTGATTTTTGAGTGAACTCAAATTCATTTGACTTTGAGGGTTATAAGCTGTTCCGTCTGCAGCTCCACCATAGCCTGCCATTTTCGCTAAAAGTGCCGCTCTTAAACCTCCACTCTGTGCACCAATAACTCGGTTTAAAAGCATAGGGTTGCTTGACATTTGTTGCAACATAGTGGGGTCATTCATCATTTGTTGTTGCAACTGTTGTTGTGGTGTCAGTTTTACTATTGGATGTTTCAATGCTCCCTTCCTCTTACGTATATTCTTACGTAGCTTACGTGGCATTTTAAGTGAAGTTAAAAAGCGGTTTTTGACAGATGTTTATATGACACTTTTTGTTCAGCACAAAAAACTACTCGGTCAAAGTGTTGTCAGTTTTGTAAAATAACCGTCCTATCTCATTCTATAAGGGGAAAAGGCTTCTCAAAGTATACTTCCTTGGAACGCCTGTAACTTTTCCTGTAGCGACGATAGACCCTTACTTGTCCGGACAAAGTTATACTATTTTGAGTGCTCTACAAAAAAGTCAACGGCGACGACTCTCAAAAACCGTTGTGTAAAAAGTTTTACCGTTGGACAAAAAAGTATATATAGAAAACAAAAAACGTTTATAGTTCATTCAATATTTGAGATGGAACGGTTTGCCAACGGTAACTATTAAATAAAATAAAAAAATAGAGGGGGTTACCGTTGACGAAAACGGTTTATTTTAAACTTTTCTATGAGTAGTCCGAAAAAAACAGTTCATTTTTCATAATGGAAGAAGAAAAAAAACAATTCGTCGACTACCTCTGCAGTTAAAGTTCCTACAACTTATGTCTCACCATTCTCAAAACCCTTACGACCTCCTATAATACCAAAGCAACTTCCTCATACAATTCAAACAAATTGTTGGACAATATGCATTTGCACAAAGAAACAGCTCAGCCAACAGGTCAGGCAACAACAACTATCGGAACAGAAGCATTTTCAGAAGAAGTTCATACCAATCAGACTCCAATCGAACATACAGAAACACAACCACCCGAAAATACAGAAACACATCCAATCGAACATACAGAAACACATTCTGCAATGACCACTAGGTCGCAAACACGATATCTCGCCTTTAGCAAACAATTTAAGTCTCAAATTCAAGACACACAAGATAGCGACACTCCTCTTTCAGAGAAAGTTCGTAGAAAATACGCAAAGAAAAGGTTAGAATTGTTAGATAAGTTAAATGAACAGTGGGGTTCAGAAGACAATCGAGATTATAACGAGATGTTTCAAGCTGTCATGGATGCCATTCAGCCACTTGAAAACGAAATCAAAGACCCTGGCGTACTTGTTGACATGTTTGCTTCATATTTACCCGTTACTGCCAATCTCATAGCGTTGCAAGCTATTGACCAGTTCATTCACTTGTTTCCAAAGAACTTGCAGAAGCATTTACAAGAAGTTAAAATTGCTGAATTTGTCCGTTTATATCCAAATTCATACAATTATTTGGAAGAATTGAATGAACATGGTGAAAGGTCATTCTATTTATATTTCTACACAAAAGACAACCAGTCAAAACGACTATACTGCATTGAACCTATGCCTCAATTCTTAGACAATTTCCACGTTATAACAACTGTTGCTTTAGATATTCCTGCCAGAGTTCCATATGGAGGAACAGTAACTATCTCAAGCTTTCCCAAGGGCTATAAAGGAAAGCCTCTCACAATTGCAAAATTCACACACAGCAGTTGCCAATTTGTTCAAGATGTCGAGTTCCATTTCCTCAACAATACGACTTTCATCATAGAGACTCCTCAAGAAGGTATATACAAAGTTTTCATCGCAGGATTTGTTGCTCCCAATGGCGAAGAAGAAGTCGAAGAAATCCTCACCTCAGAGAGCGAAGAAGAAGAAGTCGAAGAAATCCTCACCTCAGAGAGCGAAGAAGAAGAAAATTTCCAAGACATTCAAGATTCAGAATATACCGAATAAAAAAAACAATTTAAGACTAAAAATTTAATTTTATTATAATATTTTTATTTTTTTCATCTGGTCTTTGTATCATTCCTCCTCTAGTTTCTCCGGGGCTAGAGGGCGCAACGCGCCTGGAAGCCCCACTCACCTGACCTCAATGGATAGCTACAAGAATAAAAAAAGTTCATTAGTCTTGAAATTTTAAATAATCAAAAGAATTCTTTAGAATCAATAAGATTTTAAGGTTAATAAAACAAACATTATACTTTATAAAGCTTCTAGCATATATTTTTTGAGCAGTTAAAAAAGTAACAGATAAATCATGTATGCAAATGGAAGAAGGACAAAAAGGAAGTTTGTGGCTGACAATACCAGAGTCGTTGCATGGGAGATACTGAACAATGAATAATAAATAGTGATGATTAAACAGAAGAGTGCAAAAATAATGTCAACAACAAAGCATAAAGAGAATTTTCTTTCTTTGCCAAACATTGCGGTAATGAATGTTAAAGGAATTGTTATTATACCAATATGAATGAGATATATTAAGTAAACAAATTGAGTAGGGTATAAATGGTTGTTCAAAAATGTTCCATATATGCATATTAATCCAAAGTGTTCCTCTGATTTTATCAAACCCAATGGAAGGATCAACGGGGATAAAAATAACATGAATAAATAAAGCATAACATTCTTATTATATTTGATAAGATAGAATCTAACAAAAAGGAAACCACACAGAATGTATTTAATGTGATCGATTACTTTATACTCATTTTCTCTGTTTTCAAGATATTCTATACAATTGTTGTATAGTTTCATAAGTGGTTCGAACTTAACTTCAATATTAAAAGGGAACAATACAACAAACATTATTAGGCCGAGAAGAATAAGGATGCTCAATGAGTATTTGTAATAGTTTCTTTCATCTCCGAGTTTTTCTTTAAATGATGGGGAAACACTACCTATGAAGAATCTGATCATTTCTTTTTCTGTGTTGTTAGCATTTGCAATGTGAATATTGTTGAATCCGGATTTGAATGTCATCTTTATATGATATAAAGACATACCAGACCTTAAATGTCTATCAAAATTCATTCCTTGTCCATTACATAATATCGTTTCATTTTCAGAATCGGTGAATGCAATAACTCGAACATCAACTTCCTTTGAATTAAACATTGTCATTTTTGAAATTTGTTTATAATCAATTGGGTAAGTAACAATGAAACTTGGACGCTGTTCAACACTATAGCTATGATAAAAGATATTTCCATTATCATTTGAAACAATTCCAATATTTCTATGACTCACAAGATCAGAGCAAATGACTTCAAGGGAATCAAGATGATGTTGTGGTTGGATTGTTTTTGGATGAGAATGGCCTGTAAGAACAGCTGAAATCTGGTATTTGATAATGATATCTTTAAATGTAAGACCAGCCGATGATTTGCTTTGTCCAAATTGGCCAACCGGATAGTGTGTAATTATTATAATCGACTTATCATTATGATTATTAAGAGCTTCAACAATTTTTGCTTCAATCAGGTCAAGAATACCCATTGATGGATGAATAAAAATGTCAAGTAAAGCTCTCCCTTTGGGAAAGTCATATGGATTGACAATGATAAACACAATGTTTTCATGAACTCGAGATTGAACAATAAAATCATTGATAGATGTATTTTCCTTAATATTGCTATTTGTTGAGTTTATGAATAAGTTTGTTTTCATGTTAAATGAAAATGTATTAAACATATCATGATTTCCAGCAGCTTCAATAAACAGAGAAGGATCAAGTCCACTTTCTTCTTTAAGAGATTTGTATAACCTGAAATCATTTTCATTTTGTACAGCAGTTCTTATTCTAAATGAAGCTTACTTGAATAATTCCAGTCATCAACTAAATCACCACTATTAACAATAAGGGTATTATTGAATGATTTTGCAAAATTAAGGGCATCTCTGAAGTTCTTATTGTTTGTTTGCTTGTATGAGCTAACATGTGAATCTGTGGTGTGAATAAATAATGAAGGATTCTCTGATGAATTAAATTTTGAAAACGAACTTGAGAATTTTTCAACATTTTGGGAAGGAACTGTCACCAGAACACCAAAAACAATTAGAATATATATTAGTAACCATATATATTTTGTAAGTAAATATCGATATGCAATCGGAAAACGTGTTTCACCTTCTTCATTCTGAACTTCGGTGGCATCAATCAATATATTAGATACCATTTTACTATTACTTTCTTCTGTAGAATGAGTGGAGTGTAATTCAGTCATTTTTATGATTTACTATGATTTTTAAAATTTTCAAAACTACATCAATTTTTTGAAAGCATAGGGTAAAATTTTTGGAAAAAGTATATATTAATATCAAAATTCAAAATAGAAAAAAGATTTTTATTCGGTAAAATGACAATTGAATATCACCGGACTATTGAAAATATATAACGTAGTCATGCGTTCAAATTTTTATTAAACTGTTGTAAACAGAAATTCATCAAAAGTGACACCTCAGAAAAGCTAAAATATTGAATTTTTGGAACTTTTGATAGAGCACGTTTTTAAATATTAATTAAAGTAAATGGATATTTTGTAAAGATTATTTTTAATAAAAAAATAAAATTTTGAAGAAGAACACAAAATCTTCTGAAAAATAATATCACATAAACTCATATTATTTTCTAATATATAACTATTTTATATAAAAATCAAATTCAATGATCTTAAAAGCGAAGGATAACCCTCAAAATTTACGAATATAATGAGTGGGAATATAATGCTTATCTATCATAAAACCATATGAAATATCAATTTTTGCTTTACGCCTAATTTTTGACGACAATTAGCAAAAAATGTTAAATGTTAACACTCAGTCCATTTGAATATGAAAAATAAAATTGACTTTGATTAAATGTTTTTATTTATCATGCAATTCTTCTTGCGACCAAAGATTTGAATAAAAGTTCAAAAAATGAGTAGGTGACAAAAGTGCATACTCTTAAACAAATAGCAACTTTGACCCTCTCTCTTCAAAAAATAAGATAGCTTAAAAAATAATATACGGTAAAAAAAAAAAAAAAAAAAAAAAAAAAAAAAAAAAAAAAAAAAAAAAAAAAAAAAAAAAAAAAAAAAAAAAAAAAAAAAAAAAAAAAAAAAAAAAAAAAAAAAAAAAAAAAAAAAAAAAAAAAAGGGAGTGGGGCTTCCAGGCACTTCGTGCCTTCTAGCCCTGAAGATGTTTAGTATAAATGAAGTCTTAGAGGACAAACATGACTATGAGTTTTGATATGACAAGATAGAATATGAGAGAGGTCCTATAAACCGGAGAAGTGTTATATAAACATCTGTCATATTACTCAGAATATTATACAGAATTCAATAAAAATATATTTTAGGTGAAGAGGTGAGATTTCACCTGTTTTTTCACCTCATTTTTCACCTCTTGAATTTTCATGAATTTCATCGTAAAGACTTTGTCAAGATTTCATCGTAAAGACTTTGTCAAGACTTCTTCGTAAAGACTTTGTCAAAACTTCATCGTAAAGACTTTGTCAAAACTTCATCGTAAAGACTTTGTCAAAACTTCATCGTAAAGACTTTGTCAAGATTTCTTCGTAAAGACTTTGTCAAGATTTCTTCGTAAAGACTTTGTCAAAACTTCATCGTAATGAGCGTAAATCAGACAAAAATATATTTTAGGGTAGAAGGGTATATCTACCCCGTTTTCTACCCTCTTTTCTACCCCATATGTACTTACTGAAAAAGTATGTGTTCCATCTGTCATTTTTCTCAGAATTTTACACCAAAAATAATGTTTAGGTGAAGAGGTGAGATTTCACCTGTTTTTTCACCTAATTTTTCACCCTCTTGAATTTTCATGAAATTTACACCAAAAATATATTTTAGGTGAAGAGGTGAGATTTCACCTGTTTTTTCACCTAATTTTTCACCCTCTTGAATTTTCATGAAATTTACACCAAAAATATACTACTAGGGTCATTTACGAAGAAATCTCAACAAAGTCTTTACGAAGAAGTCTTAACAAAGTCTTTACGAAGAAGTCTTAACAAAGTCTTTACGAAGAAATTCATGAAAATTCAAGAGGTGAGAAATGAGGTGAAAAAAGAGGTGAAATCTCACCTCTTCACCTAAATATATTTTTGGTCATTTACGAAGAAGTCTTAACAAAGTCTTTACGAAGAAGTCTTGACAAAGTCTTTACGAAGAAGTCTTAACAAAGTCTTTACGAAGAAGTCACAATAAACATCTGTCAAAAGCCGCTTTTTAACTTCACTTAAAATGCCACGTAAGCTACGTAAGAATATACGTAAGAGGAAGAGAGCATTGAAACATCCAATAGTAAGACTGACACCACAACAACAGTTGCAACAACAAATGCTGAATGACCCCACTATGTTGCAACAAATGTCAAGCAATCCTATGCTTTTAAACCGAGTTGTTGGTGCACAGAGTGGAGGTTTAAGAGCGGCACTTTTAGCGAAAATGGCAGGCTATGGTGGAGCTGCAGACGGAACAGCATATAACCCTCAAAGTCAAATGAATTTGAGTTCACTCAAAAATCAAATAACAGATGTCAAAAAGTCAAACATAGACATACAGAAGCAAATAAGTGAAAACGAAAAGAAACTAGAATATGACAGACACACAAAGAAACTAAATGAGTTAAACGTAGAGAAAAAGAAGAAAGAAGAACAACTGAAAGAACTAAGTACAGAGGAATATGCAAAAAAGTGTCAGAAAAAGCAGCAGAAGTAGCAAAAATGGAACAAGATGTCATAAATTTGAAAAACCATACTACTCAATATAAAATACTGAAAGATGAAGAGATAAAACAAAAAGCCCTGAAGACATATATGGATAGCGATGAGTATAAAAAAGAAGTTGAAGCAAATGTAAAGGCAGAAAAACTTTTACAGTTGCAAAACCAAACCGTACAGTATGAAAACTTAGCACAAGAAAGTAAAAATAACGACGCAGCCATGCAAAAGGCAATGAAAAGCGCAGAATATATAAAAGCTAACAATGACTGGTTAGATGCCCAAGCCAACGCTAAAGCAGCCCAACTCATAGGGTCAATAAGGACAAAAATACAAGCGGATGAAGATAGTTCAAATGAAGCTTTAACAAATGCTGACTTTAAGAACGCTTTCGAAGCTCTTCATAGTAAGGTGAAACAAGTGAACGACTTCTCATCTGGAAAGAAACTGAAGTCTGAAGGTTTCGACAAAGAGTTAAAAGAAGTAGCACAAAATATGACGAAAATAACAGATGCAGCAACGAGACAGGCAGTTCAAAGTGCCTATGACGCCGTTAGAGCAACTGTTGTGGAAAGTCAAGAAAAAGAGTTACAACAGACCAAAACAGACCTAGTAAATGCTTTCTTAAAAACGAAAAGTCAGGTAGGACATTACGCTGCAGATGGAACATATGTGCCAGCTGGTGGAACTTATATACCACCAAACCCTCCAAGAGAAGCACCTGCACCAGGACTACCTAGAACATTTACATCGTCACATGGACACAGACACAGGCATGCACAACAACCAGCACAACAACCACCTCCACAACCAGCACAACAACCAAAACCAGCACAACAACCAACACAACAACCAACACAACAACCAGCACAGCAACCAACAGTTCAAAACCCTGCACAACAACAACCACAAACAGAGCAAGGACATAAAAGAAGTAGAGAACAAGGAAACCAAGAATTCTTAAAAATGCTTAAAGAAGAGTGTGGTTTCCCAGATAGTATTGACTTTAGTGACAGATATAAAGAAGCTATTGGAAAGTTCAAGGATGGAAATACTGACCCGAACCTATTTAGCTTTATGGCTCAGCACCAAAACGGATATAATCTCAAACCTGGAAAATACAAGCTCGCTAAGGGATATGATTTAATAGCATATCATCCAAATGACATGGATGAATTTACTCCGAGATATTTGATGTCAGAGCTAAATGACAATTCAACTTTCGTCATGAAACGCGTAAAAAAAGGAGACGGAACGAAAGAACAAAGGCTTATGAATGCGGATGACGTAGATAGGGAAATTGTTGAAAACGGTCTCGGAATATATGAAATGCCAGCAGATGAGGTACAAGAAACTCAACAGGAAGAAGTTCAGATACAACCAGACATGGAAGAAATAGTTCAGCAACAACAGCTAGAAGAGCCTGAAGGAAACGAACAAGTCCCTCCTTTGGAAACTAACCTCACAGAACTAGATGAAGATTTGGAACAGCCGAAAATTCTTGACCCTCAACAAGAGTATGCGGAGAATATGGAATATTTCCAAGAGTCTAAAAAAAATTCGGCTGACATAGTAGAAGAATATCGAAAAATGTTTGCCGACATACAAAAGACTCCAACACCAGATGAAAATATTCAGCATAGAATGGAAGTACTGAAAGAAAATGTACACAAATACAACAACCCTTTTTACTTACGACATATAACGTTCAATCTTCGGATGAACTCGGTGAAAATAAAAGGTTAAATTTCAAGAAAACATATAGAAATGAAACATTGTTTAAAGTTCATTCAGAACCTAACCAAGATGGAAACAAACCTACTTTTGTTTCTGCAGACGATGGAACTACAATGAGATGGGGTCATAAAGCTAACCCGGATAGGTGGTTCATAAACTTACAACCACAATTCCAAGAAGTTGTAGACGCAATGGAAGTCAATGGTGAACCAGATATAGCTGGTATTTTAAGCGCGGCTTTAATGCCATTGAAAGATATGAAACATGCAGATATTTTGGACCAGTATGAAATGAACATGGCTGATGGAAATATAACACCTGACGTTCTAGAACATTTATCTCAAAGAACTACACAGAACCATAGAGATGGTATATTTGGTGAAGAGTTTAGAAAGAAAGTTAGGGAGACAGAAGGAAGAGAACCTATTGTACATGACCTTGCAAACGAAAGTTTACAAAATGTCATAAAAACTTACTTTGCAGACAATGAACCGAGAAGGGATGAATATTTAAGAAAACTCAATTGGACAGTACCAAATGAAATGTTAGTATTGAAAAACATGTTCCTTGACAAAATAAAACCAACTACAGAAATAAACGACGCAAGACTGAAAGATTGGGTAAAAGCTTTCCCATTCACAAAAGATATAGTTGGTAACATGGAAAGAAAACCAGAATGGCTAACAAAACATATATTTGGAAACGAGCTTATTCCATATGGACAGGCTCTGTTTGAAGAGCTTGAACCGGAAACTCAGGAAAGAGTCATGCAAACAATACGCGAAGACTCAAATACAGACTATGACAAACTCTTTCTAGGATATAGGTTACCTGAGATGGGCGACCAGAGCCAAAAGGCAAAAAGGACATGGGAAATTTGCAACATACTAGATGAACATAATGCAAAGATGCAACAACTTCAAGCAGAGGGCAATGAAGGAAAAAGAAGAGTTAAAAACTCAGTCAGGAAGAAAGTAAAGCTTGGTCGGAGTGGGTTCTATTATGACATATAAATCCAACTATTCTATATTTTTACTCATATGAAATGTACGCCGCTCAGAATATAACGCCAACAGTTTTGGATGCTATGAATGGAAATGTTTCCGAATGGTATAACGAATGCGACAATGCCATTAGAAGGTCAGAAATAGTTCCTGGAACTTACGAATATACAACTGCTGTTTCTTATGGAAACGTAGGTGAGTTTGGAGAAGGTTCTTCAACAACAGTAGATATTGCTTGCGACAGGTTTCATATAATTTCTATTGACAACTCTTTCTTATACGTGGAACAAGACATTGAAATAAAACCTTCTGCCAAGTTGTCTGACAAGAAAGGTTGCAATGGAATTTTCTATGTCGGATACCAATATGCTCCAGAAGTTTTCATGGGATATAAGATATATTCTAACTCTGACTTAGTTCAAACAGTAACATGGGCAAACTATGAATGGTTCGCTTTGAGAAACTCAGTACAACCACAAGCTAGAGAACAAACAGACCAGTATGCAACTATTGAGAAAATAAGAAGACTTGACCCTAACGTTCCAGGAGTTTATGTTAACCTTTCTGGACAAACTGCAGCAGCAGTAACCAAAGTAAAATGAAACTTAGAGTTCCTTTGTCATCTTTCCTCATCTTCAGGTTTTTAAGATACTTGCCAAACTGGGCAGGAAAAATTTCTATCGAACTTACTCCAAGCAAAAATAACTTAGTCATTGCACCAACACAAGACCCATTCACTCTTACAGACGTAAAGGGAGCAAATCAAACGTCATTCGCCGAATTTTGCAAAGACAAAGTTGACTTAGACTTTGGTTTCTCAAACCTCAACACTGAAGTAAACTACTTATTCAATGCTGCTGGAATGCTTGGGACCCAGTTAAGTTCACATGCGAAAAATTTGAATGCAAGAGAATAGAAAGCAGACTTGCAGTCTATATGTTGGACCCAGATATTTCAAATGCTTTAGCTGCCAAATATATTGCAGTTCCACTTATGTTCCCTATACACCAAATATCTGTCAAAGACTTTGCAGGTGAAGTTGGAAACCAAAGTGCTGACCCAGGTGCAAGAACAGATATTGCTTAACAACTGCAATGAAACATGCAGATACTATGTTTGTACTGTTCAGACGAACTATAAATGACTATTCTTGTTTCTACAACCCTGGTATTAAATATCATATAAACATAGATGGCAAATATTATCCAAGAGAAGAATATTCTACAGTTGAGGATATGAGGTCATACAACTTGACATTAGATGCTATGAACTTTAACAACAACTTCACAACAACCATTAACCCTGAAATGCAAAGTTCTATTATGCCATATGTGAAAGTATGGACTCATACAGGAGGTCAAAAAACTCAATATACAAATGGAGACCGTTCAAACTTTTGGCTTGGCATTCCATTTGCTGACTCAGAAGACTTTATGGGTGGTATTTCAACTGTTGGTACAGTTCAAATACAATATACTGGTGACAGAGACGGTCCAGATGAATGAAAGCAAAGAAGTTTACAAAACCAATAGCACTTTTCACGGAAGATGCTCTTTTGAAGATTCGTTCGATGAAACCTGCTGGGGCTCCTCAGATTGGTATAACGACAGCTTCCATCGAGCAGATTTTGGCAGCAGGTCAGTAAGTTGTTCTTGAACTGACTTCTCTCCGTCAAATATTGACAGTACGCCAGTTTTGATATAATATTGTATTATAAACTTACCTTTAGAAATATCGGTCAGTTTTGTTGTTATATTTTTGTCTGCTTCAAGAACTTTCACCATTCGGTTATACCAACTTTCTTTGCTTTATGAAAATATTTTGGTTCAGCAAAGACTGCTATTCTATAACATTTTCCATTGTTTGTATAAAGAACTATTCTGTCAATGAACTTGTATTGTTTGTGTGTGTAAACTTTGTTTTGCTTCAATTCGAAGAGATACTCAAATACGTCCATCTTTTTATTCTAAGTAAAATGTCATTTCCGAAAAATAGAAGCGTAAGTGTTTCAAAAGGTTTAATGGCGGTGGCAGATGTGAAGTTAAATTCACCAACTCAAACAAACAGTCAAAGTGTTGTTGTCAATGTCAAAGAAAGAGATGTTGAAGTGGGGAAACCATACGAAGACGAAGATGGTATAACAATAGTTCCTGTAAAAGAACAAAACATACCTGAAGTTAGCAGAGACTTAAGTTCTGTTGCAGATATTCGAAACGACTACCAACAACTTAAAGACAAACTTAAAACTCAGGAGAAGATTTGTCAAGCTTTGGGTATAATGTTAAACTTGGTTGAGCACAACCCTGTAAAAGTGAACTCATATGTCATCGCACCTCATGAAATTTTGAAAGAACTATTGAAACTTTTGACAGAGGCAGACGATATAAACATCAAAGAAATAGAACCCGACATTGCTTGCTGTGGTGTTTCATATAATGTCATTGACAAGATATACGTTATGAAAGGAGGTGAAACGTTGAACTTAAAATATAGTTTCCCAGACGTCATAAAAATATTTGACGACCACAACATTTCATTAAAGTTTAGTTGCTAAGTAAATGGCAGAAGACATAGTGGTTTATACTATTACGACTAAAAACCCTGAGTCATATAATTCTATAACAACAAACTTACAAAGTCCTCAAGGACGATATTGTAAACTAACTTTAAACACAATGACGACTAAAGCCTGTTTTGCTCTTTTGACACCAGAAGACTTTGTTGTTGTGAATGGTAAAAAATACTTCTTTGAAGATACTTACTCAGATATACCACCAACAGGTTTTGTTGACTTATTTAATACTTTAAGGACGGATGTAACATGTGCTGCAACTAGAGCAGGTTTCATTATGTTTGGATGTCCGACTGAGTTTAGTATAAACGATATGAGCTATAATACAAAACTTATATCTGGTTTTTACTACCAACAGTTTCCTATAACAGGAAAAGGTGTCATACAAGGTTTGTCTGTTCCATTGACTTTAAGTACACCTATTTTATATATTGTTTCAAACTTAGGTTCAAAGTGCTATTCGAATGTCGACAGAAACTACTATGACCAAAAGATACTCATGCGTATAAACAACACTTTCTCTGCTGGTTTGCCTATTGTTCATTCGAATGCAGAGTTTTCAGCTTTAGTGAACTCAAACACTTTAGCAAACATAAACTTAACTTAGTTGACGCAAACTTTGTTCCTGTAAAACTTTTATGTCCTATGTATTTGTCAATGACGGCAGAAAGTTTCGAATTGGAAGATGCAACTGGTGAAAGTATTGTACTACAAGAACAACTTCAACAACAAATAGCTCAAGAACAACAATGCAACAAATAGCTCAAGAACAACAAATAGCTCAAGAATAAAAAAATATTTTTTTTTATTTTTATAAAAATGTACAGAATAGACGTTTCAGATTTTTATGACTTCCAAGCGTTCAGAAATATGTGTCCATTTCGAGACTATAACAAAGCAGTCGAGAATTTGAAACGTTTAGTCATTTATGTCGACTCTGCCCCAGAATGTTATGTCATGAAAGAATGGGATGTTGTCTTTAACAAACCAAAGAGCGACAATAGTTTCAGAACAAGAATGTAGACAAAAACTTAAGAAAATAAAAGTCGTACAAGTTGGCATGAAGATGTTAGATGCTTGGGATATCTTATTGTCAAAGTTAGAAGATTTTTCAGTTCGAGGTATAAAGTTCTATACACCATCTCCAAACTTCTATTCTATCTTCACTGGATATAAATATGAACAAGTAGAATGGAAGAAAATGTTATAGAAGCTTGGTTAGACCATGTCAAAGAAATTATATGCAATGGAAACGAAAGAGTCTATGAGTATATCTTATGTTGGTTTGCAAACATCTTACAACATCCAAGTGCTAAAAATGAAACTGCTCTCATTATAATTGGAAAACAAGGAACTGGTAAGAATACTTTCTTTACAGATATTTGTGCAAACTGTTAGAGGGCTATTCGAATCGAATATGACAACTTAGAAAACATCTGCGGTAAATTTAACTCTTCAATAGAGAATATGAAACTTATAGTATGTAACGAACTTCAAAGTATAGATACAACAAAGGTTTTAAACTCAGATGCTTTGAAGAGTCTTATAACAGACAAAGTTGGAGTTGTTGAAAGAAAATATAAAGACCAAAGAGTTTGTGAAAATGTTGCAAATTTCATCATGGTTTCAAAACAATGCCGTTCCGATGAAGTTAGAAAGTTCTGACAGAAGATATGTAGTTGTCAGAACGTCAGATTCTCATATGCAAGATACAGAATATTTTGACGACTTAGCAGAAACTTTGACACCTAACTTTTACAACCACTTGTTCTCATATTTCATGACATTAGATATTTCTAAGTTCAATCCAAGACAAATTCCATATACCGAAGAAAGACAAACATTGTTAGAAGCAAACAAGAGTGTTTATGAACTGTTTATAGATGAGACTAACTTTGAGTGTTTAGATGAAAGGTCATTGTACGATGAATATAAACAATATTGCCAAGAGTATGGTTATATGACAGCGTCTAAACGAACATTCTTGGCAAATGTCAAAAATCTTTTAGATGTTCAGAACGGCGTATATACAAAGAAAAATTTTTCTGAGTAAATTTTAAAAAAATATTTTTTTATCCGATAGAAAAGATGGCAAAATTCATCTCAGTAAACAAGTACATGACAGAAGTCAAAGAAGAACTAGACCCATTCGCATATTTGAATGTTTACTTCTACCATTTTGAAAAGTCTACATTTGACAAAGTTTGGAACATCGAACCAGTTAAGTTTGCTATTGTGACTAAAAATGGTGCGAAATTTGAAGACTTAGACATAGAAGGTTTGTTAACAGTCAAGGAAAATTTTGACAGAAGGTTTTCAAACCTTAAAGAAGGCAAAGCATACAAACTTGTTATACCTTATGAACCAAAGAAAGCAGACGACTATGAATATTATGAGTCTAAGATAGTTGAAGTTCAAGGTAAATTGGGTAAAAAGATTTTAGAGTCTAAGCCAGTGTTTGCTCCTAAAGAGGAAGAGAACATTGACATTGACCCAGAAATGTTCTAAAAATAAAATTTTATTTTTACATGTCAAATTTCTTCTTCTCTGGCTCTGGTTCTTTCTTCTCTTCTTCTACTTTCTTTTCTTTCTTTTCTCTCTTCTTCTTCTTTTCTGGTGGAGTTATGTCAAATTTCTCAGAACCATATTTATGTAAAAGTTCTTTGTCCTTTAATAGCTCTTCTATTCTGTTTTCTATTTCATCTTCAAGAACAGCGCATGTGCCTTCTTTGCATTCTAAGAACTTTTGTTGGACTTCATCTTTCCAAGAGGCGTCATCTCTGTCAACAAGTCTGTCATTGACAAATTTTAAGACTGCTCTGCTTAAGGTTTTATGGTTCTTGTCATATTCCCAGAAACAGAACTTTAGAACAAATTCACCTTTCTTGTTTACACTATGTAAGATTTTATGGTCGACAGATGTTTTAGAGTCGAAAAGCTTGTCTCGAATATAGATAGCGAAATCGCTAGACATTTTCAAAAAGATAAAAATTTTAATTTTTCTAAAAATATGTTAGAAAAAAAGTTTGCTGACATTGACAAGAAATTTGAGAATGTTTTGAAGAAGAACAAGAGGAAGTTAGAAAATGCTCAGATAAAACCCATACATGACAAGTTCTTATTTGCTCAGAATGGTATAACAGGTCTAATTGCACCACCTGGGTCGGGTAAGACTTTCACTTATCTTAAAATGGCTGCACAACAACAAGAACTAGATGAGAAGAACCCATTCTATGAGTTAGTAGTCATTTGTAGTACTTCTGGTCAATTTGACCAACCGTAAATTCGTTCAAAGATATTATAAAGAAGTCTAAGTTAGTATGTATAAAAGACTCTGAGTTGTTAGATTGGATAAAGAAGTACCAAAGAAGAGTTTTGAAGTACAATGCTATAAATGAGTATGTCAATTCGAAGTTCAAAGACCCAAATGAGGAAATGCAGAGAATATTAGAGAAGAAACACTTCAGAAACAAACAGAAAGAGATAGAATACCTTTCGAAGAAATTGCAATCTTACGATTGGAAGACTTACCCTCACAGATGTCTTCTTATCTTAGATGACTTTGCTTCTCATCCTTTGTTAAAGAACAGAGAACAGACATGTGTCGAATTCTTAAGAAGCTCAGACACTTTAACATCTCAGTTGTCATTTGTGTACAGACAGCAAAGAGTTTAAGTAAGGATGTTAAAAGAATACTTACTGATATCATACTTTTCCCTGGATTGTCCGAAGACGATTTCATGGAACTTATGAAAGAGTCCATGGCAGGTAAGTTTGACAGAAAACTATGGGCGAAAGTAACAACAAAGTCATACAAGACTCCTCAATACTTCTTTCAGAATTAATATCTATCGCGAAGAGAAACAAAGTTCAAAATTGTAAATAAGTCAAGCTTGAAAAATGTAAGTGTTTATTGTCTTAGTCTGTTGTGGTTGCTGTCAGCTTTTAGGTTCCTCTGGTTGGGAATGGATCTCGGTTTGGTGTACGTCGGCCATTGTTTGAAAAAGTAAAAGACTTGTCTTGAAAACAATAAAAAGACTTGTCTTGAAAAAGTAAAAACTTTTGTCTTGAAAAAGTAAAAAGACTTGTCTTTGAAAAAGTACAGACTTGTCTTGAAAAAGTAAAAGACTTGTCTGAAAAAGTAAATAGACTTGTCTTGAAAACGTGGAAGCTTGTTCTTGAAAAAGTAAAAGACTTGTCTGAAAAAGTACGGGTATCGTCCTGAAATCAAGAACACTGGTTCAAATTTGAGACTTACACCAAAAAATTTCTTGAAAAACACAAAAATATATAAACGGGTCTTGGTCTTGAAAAAGTAAAAGACTTGTCTGAAAAAGTAAAAAGACTTGTCTTGAAAAAGTAAAAGACTTGTCTTGAAAAAAGTAAAAGACTTGTCTTGAAAAAGTAAAAGACTATGTCATTGAAAAAGTAAAAGATTGTCCTGAAGACAATGACCGCATAGACCCAACAGACTGAGGCAATCTAACCCTTATAGAAGCTACCTTAGCCATCTTTGTGTCAAGCTGGTAAAAATAAATGGTTCATTTACTCTACTTGTTTGAAGTTTGTCAAAATACTCTGTTATTTTTTTCCTTTTAACAAATGGCAAATCTTCTTTGAATGATAAGTATTGTACAACCTTTATATATCATAGTGTTGTTTGAGGTAACGATTCTTGAACATATTTGTTTTCACATCTTCATTGGTGTCATGAAATCGGTAAGTTTTCGCGATAGAACCAAATTTTCTTCAGATTGTAAATACCTTAGCAAGGTCGTAAAAGCTTTGGTTGTTTCTTTTGACTAAAATGCAACTATAACCATATCTCTTTCTTCTTCATTTTCCATCTCTTGCAGTATAAATCAGATATACTTATAGTTTCTTTTTCCTTTCCTTTTGTACCGAACGTGGTATTCTTCTTTTTCTGAATGCTTTTGTCTTTTGCTTCAAGACTTCATTGTTTGCCTTCTGAGGTCTGTTTCCTCTCTTCCGTTCGTTGTCTCATGTAATTTCGCAATCTAACATCCATGTAACTATATCGAACGGATAAGCGAGGCGAAGCCCACTTGCAAACTAGCATTTAGCAACGAGTCTATGTACATACAACCTCCTTTCAAAACCATTTGGCGAAATTTTTACGCATTTTCAGTAAGGATCTCGTTCGGCGGTTTCCCCGTAACCAAACAAGTGGTCAGCTGATCTTCTAAAGTTCTTGGTGCTGTTGGTTTTTGAGACACAAATCGTTGTGTCTTTTGAGCAACAACCAGCTGTCAAAATACTTTGCATTTGGTAACATATCGTGCTTTGACCTGACACGAATGAGACGAATTGTTTGTTAAACTGTAGTTGTATGTACTCGTATTCTCATTTATTGGCTTCATGAACATAATGCTGTGTTGTTGTTCTCATGTATCGTTGACATATCTGTCTAATTCCGATAACATAAAAAAAAAATATTTTATAACAATTAGCGTTATTTTTCCTTACTTTCACAAAAGACCAAAAATAAACGCTTTAAACATGTGTTTTCAGCAAACTTCGTCAAGATAGTCGTAAATATACCATGCATAACGAGGTGAAGAACACAGTTGCTATTGAACTAACTAGAACATTATGAACATATTATACCTTTTAGATATGGATGGAAGTTTGTCTGTCCTTGTACATCTTTTTAAGTTCTACATGTTCGAACTCACATCAAGAGTTCATGAGTGCTATTTAATTAAAACCAGTCTTGCTGGTTCTTAGTATCTGGAGCAAAACATTGCTGTCAAACCATACTTTGCATTTGGTACATGTCATCTTTGACCGAACGAATGAAAAGACGTAATGTTTGTTTATACTGAACCCACTCGTATTCTCATCTATATCTTCATGAACGATAGCAATTTGTTTGTGTTACTCTGATGTTTGACCATATCTGTCTTTACATACAAAATAAAAAAAATATTTTTTAAAAAAACTAGCGTTTATTTTTCTATCTTGTAATTAAAAGACCAAAAAGTAAACGCTTTATCATGTATTTTTTCAGCAACTTCGTCTCAAATAATTTATAGCTTAGCTATCTCATCTAACTTCAAACGTTTCTAATTACTTTCGTGGAGCACCATACAAATTTTCTCAAACTCTTTCAAAGTAGTTCTGTTTCAGCACTCTAAATATCGTTAACAGAACGCAACCTTAACTCTATTGACTGTACTGTTCATATTACTACTTATATTTATAATTTTCTTGCCTATCTTATATCTCTTTGTATTGAAGTCCTTCGGTTTCTGAACGATGTAAGTAAGCCCTCACTATCAGTGCAACGTTCGTATCGAATGAAACATATGTTATGAAATTATATCCAACAACTGGTCAATCCGAACAAAAACTACTGGTTATATAGACTTTTTGTCTATAAGATAGCTCTTGTCCATAGAATTTACCGATTAATCATGCAGCTCAGGATTTCTTGTCAAAAATTTTCTTGTATTTGAAGCATTTCTTAACCCAAGTCGTGGATGTTTTCTTCCAGATAGTGCGTTAAAATGTCTGAATCAAAGAATATTCTTTTGTATTTCTTTGGCTATCTTACGTTTTAAATCACCTATTCCTAACCACTTGGTGTCATTGTCTATCTTTTAACTGTTTCAAACTCAATGTTTTAACATTTCTGTTCTTACATACAAAATAAAAAAATATTTTTATAAAAACCTAAACTTTATTTTTTCTATCTGTAAGGAAATTCATTGAATGTTTGTTGCTGAATTCCAATAAAAAATATATTTTTAGGTGAAGAGGTGAAGATTTCACCTGTTTTTTTCAACCTAATTTTTTCACCTCATGAATTTCATGATTTCATTCGTACAATGTTTTTGTCAAGACTTCTTCGTACATAAATTTTCATGATTTCATCGTAAATGTTTTTGTCAAGACGTCTTCGTATGAGCCGTAAATGACCCAAAATATATTGTTAAGTCGAAGAGGTGAGAATTTCCATTCACCCGTTTCTCACGCTCTTTTCTCACCTCTTTTTTCGACAAAGCGTTTTACATGAACTTGTATGATGTATATTTGAAATCTAAAAACAATTTCGTAGCTTCATTTCTTCCTGTCAGTACATCGAATGTTTTAAACGATACGAAAGTTTTTCTTTAATACTTTCTTCTTGACGTCAGATAGGAAGGAATCTTCGCTGTGATTAGTTTTTTATTAAAGAAATGTCAACGATATCCCATTTTATCTTCTGCTGGCTTTTTCTGCTTTTGTTCTTTAAGTCTCATAGTCGTTTTCGCATTCTTTCTATCTCTTTGACTGAGTAGTTTATATTTCATCATTGCTGCTTTACATTTGAACATTGCGGGTTCATTTTGCGTTAATCAGTTCTGAAACCTTAACCTGTAAAGAACAACTAAGGCGTCAATGGTTTTCTTTAAATCTGAAAAGCAGTTTTGTGCTTATTTGTTCGTTCATACCTTACCGCTAGCTATCTTGTATCTCCTTCATTTCCCAAACACATTTGCAAACTAACGAACCAAGTTATCGTAAACGTCTAAAACTTCCCCCAGATTTAATATATGTCAGAGATGTTCTTATATACCATAATGGCAAGTCTTTTGTCCATGACTTCTGTGGTTGCAATGAAAACCAAGGAATTCATAATTTTACCTTTCGTGTGGATGAACTTCTTTATTTCTACCGATGTCAGTTGGTTTCACTTTTCAATTTTACGTCGAATTCAGGAAATAAGTCTAGTTTTTTGTTGTTGGATTTCACGGTAGTTTAGTAGATGGTCATAATATCCTGCTG